CTATATTATACACAGTTGTACACAGCATCTGAAGGTAGCTCCCATTAGGGCTTTCTTAAAGCAGAAGTGCATTGTTTGCTGTACAGAATCCTACATTTTTTTCAAGGTTAACAGCGCTACTAAGACCAACAATCACACACATTTGTCAGAGTTATTCATAAGTGGCTAAGATGTTTACTTACATTCCATAAAGCATGATAGACGGCGTAATTACAGGCATTGTGTGTTGATAGGATTTGCCTGATTTATTATAATAACATTTTTGGATCAATTAGATCTCATTTGGCTGTGCTAAGTCTGTCATTATATAATGATTAACTTTTGTTGTCTCTTTTTTGCTAATTTGGGAATGTCCTTTTCAACTCATTTGGTAAATCAATCGAGACACTGGAAACTGAGCGCATATTACAAATGGCTAGCTCTGTAACTACAAAATGTATTTCAAATATACCGGTACATATCAAAGATCACAGCCACTTGTTGTCAGAAGAATTTTCATACAGTGTGTGGTGTCTAAGGACTTTGATCTTGCCCCTCATTTATTTTAAACATGTTTGATGTTTTATGACTAGGACTGGGACCACCAACATCATTTTAAAAAGGTGCTCTCAGGAGTTTATAGTCTCTGTTGCCAGTGTCTGTTCCTCCACCTGAATTACCTTCACCTAAATTTGACTTTTGTCATTTCTTTACATTTTCAGTGCAAATTGGGCAAATCATATCTGAGCAAATTGGATGTCTATTCCTGTTTTGGTTACTGTGGCAACAAGTGGCTATTAAATGTAGCACCTGAAATAATTCAGTGTATATTTGGGTTGTATCCTCGTGGCTGAAAAAGCACTATTGTCAGTGTTTTTGGATAAAACTGTTGAATACTAAATGAATGTAATGTACTGTCACATACTGTATGACTGACTTGTCCTCTGCTGTTGTCTGTCAGTATGTGCTTCTGAAAACGTTGGCAGAAATAAGTTGATATGTGTGCACGGTGTCTGGTATGTGTAGGTTTCAGTGATCCTCTGGTGTCTCTCAGGCTGAAGCAGATGGTATATATTGTGTTTAAGTTTGGTAAGTGTGGTTTCTTGCAACTGTGTAATGGCAGCTAGTCTGTGAAGGTACGCTGTGCAAGATCTGCGGTAGCTAACAGGTGGTTTGAGTTCACTTGTGTGTCGTGTCGTTGAGTTCACTGTTGTTCATGTCACCTCTATGTTGGTGTCCAAGTTAGCCTGTGCAGCTGCTGACGACACATTCTTCAAAGCTGTGCCATGCAGCTCAGTTTGACACCTTACCACTGATGACCTCTGTCCCACTTGTCCCAGTACCAACTTTCAACCGTCCATCTCCTCTGAAGTGTGTCAAGGATCAAATGTCCTTGCTCACACACACACACACACACTTTTCAGAGCTAAACCAGAAGTTTCCAGAAGGTTGCTTCAGGCAAGACAAAAATGTGTTACTTTGTTCGTTGCACTTGAATGTAAAACACAAAAGTGTCTCTCGTTATACTCTGCAAACATGCATAAAGGCTATGAGCGCATTTGTGTAAGTATTGAAACTTCAGAGAGTGTTCTCCAGGACAGCAACCACAAAACTAAGACTGCAGCATATGTCTGGAAGTTCAATTTGAACAAAACTGCACCCACTAAACAGAGAGCAGGACTAGATCAAACAGAGGGATGTCATTTCTCTACAGCCTGGGGGTTATTATGGCGCTGTGTTTGGAGTGCTCTTTTGGTTATTTTTTAGGACCAGTGTATGATCCTAAATGTTACACGCTGGACCTCTAGCATTGTTTTTCTTTCACATCAGGTGTATTTATTGTTTGAACTAACCCAGGCCACTTGATTTCTGATTTGGTTGAGGTTCTGGATCTCCTGATTCTAGAGCTGTATAATCCTTTACTTTTGCTTTTAGGAACAACTGACTAACAACTGAAAAGTCTGAACATTTTTTACACTTCTAAAGCACGTGCCTGTGCTTTTTCTTTGTTTGTTGTTTCACTGAATGACGGACTAACTTTGACTCCTCTGTCACAAAAGGATAAAAAACAAGCCCATTGGTCATCGGTGTTGTTGTGCTTAATGTCTCTAGCTGTCACAGCTGAACAATGTTGATTCACCTCCAGTGAATAGTCTGTGTGTGTGCCTGCGCTTATGTGTGGAGCCATGAAAGACAGTAGTGCTAAGCTGCTTAACTGGAGTGAGGTCTTTGGCTGGTGGTGCACTGGCCTGGTTGTGGGCCAATGATTTTTCTGCTGGGCAAGTGGTAGTCAGTGTGTTTTTTTTTGGTAGTCCAAAGACCGAGACTGATCGGATTATTACATGGCTGTTTGATTGGCAGAAAGCTCCTGCAGCTATCTGTAAAGCATCTGGAGATTCATTGGCCATTCAAAAGGCAATATTGTTGCACACGACTCACATACCTTTACATATACTGTGGTTTCTTACTTCATAAGACTAATCCATTTTAAAGTCTTTGTAGGCACTCAGGTCAGAACACAAATATACAGAGGCTAAGAATAGATCTCTGCGCACACAGTTGTGTAATGGACTAAAACCTTCCTATGTACTAAGGCATATAAGATCCATTAATGCTTACTGGCTGTCCCACATTAGGTATTGACTGTTTGCTTTAATCCTGCAGACATACAGCAAGCCTTCAAAATGACCAGCCCAAAAAAGGACATGACACGGACAAAATAGTCCAAGAAAATTGTCCTTTTTTTGGTGCATAAAACCGATTTTTTTTTTTTTTCATTCTTTCTGTTCTCACACTGTGTACCACCTCAGAAAATATTAGCCTCTCCAAGTACCACCATTATGACCAATGTTAAAATACAGTAGCGTAGGCAGACACTATTCAGCTCGGACAGTACATGTAGGAAGCAAGTTTACTCCTAAAAAGAAGATTATTTATTGTTGACTGTTGTTGAATCCTGAACTAAAAGCCGTTCAACAACCGGAGCTAATTTGGTGGAAAAGTGGTACCATTGATCAACACTTATCTTCCCAATAATTCCCGTTTGTATCCACGATTGCAGTGTTTCTGAAACATTTATCTTACCTCTGCTTACTATCTTGCCATCACATTTTAGTTTGTAACTAATCATGGATCTGTGTGTGCGCTACGTGCATGAACAGGACTATCCAGCAGGCTGATATGGAAACAAAAGTATTACAGGAAATACAAAACTTTAAATTACATTTCAGCAAACTCATAGTTTTAGTTTTTTCATTTGAAATGTTGTAGTATTTTGATATGGTTTTAAATTTTCCTTTCCTTTTGTCGGTTCTACCGTTCATGTGAAATGGAAATCAAGTTGTTCCTTTGACACACACCTTTATGTGGCTTCACTGTTTTGAATTTATTTATATTTTGGTTTAAATACAGTCTAAAATTAATTGAGCACAAGTTGACTAGTCAGTAAATTGCTGTCAAAATCATCTGTATCATCAAAGAATTGTTGAGACAGGAACAAAAATAATAATAATTTAGCATTTGAGTATTTCCTATGTTGTCTGGGACCTATCAGCTACAGGTTGTCAGTTACTGACCCTAGGGGAATTGGCAGTTACAGCCCTGTGTTAAAGGAAACTGAAACCCCAAGTGTGTGTGTGTGTGTGTGTGTGTGTGTGTGTGTGTGTGTGTGTGTGTGTGTGTCTGTGTCTGTGTGTGTGTGTGTGTGTGTGTGTGTGTGTGTGTGTGTGTGTGTGTGTGTGTGTGTGTGTGTGTGTGTGTGTTCTGTTCTGTCTGGTCTGTTCTGTGTGTGTGTGTGTGTGTGTGTGTCTGTTTCTATGTAAGTACTTATTGTACTGTGGTCTTGTGGTTGTAGGGTCCTGAGGTTTTCTATGTTCATCTGTCTGCTGGTAAAGCCGAGGCTACCCAAGTGAGCTCTTTAAATCTATATGGACAACAGTGACTAATCTCCTCATCTCAGGCTCCAACACGTACGTCTGTCTGCTGAGAAATGTAGGCCGTGAGAAGAAGGCCATCACACAAACGCCTGTGCAGCACCCTCTCACTTAAGCCATGTCTGCTATCTCGTGCACACACACACACACACACACACACACACACACACACACACACACACACACACACACACACACACACACACACACACACACACACACACACACACACACACACACACACACACACACACACACACACACACACACACACACACAGTTTTGACTCTTGTTCTTTCACCTTCAGCTTCCCTTTGTTTATCAAGTTCTGGCCCATTTTGCTCAGAGGTAATTTTAATAGAGGTCCACTTGCTATGTGTTCATTTCCTCTGTGCATGCTAAACTGGATATAGTGTGACCTGTTTTGACTGGATAACGGAAGCTTTGCTTCCTAATAGAGGTACTTCCAAGGCATGTAGTCTGAACATCAGCCCACATACTGAAGTTGTTTTTTCCGCTTCCTTTTAGATGAGAGCGGTTTGATTGTTTTGTTTCTGGGACCAGGTTCATACTCTGTTGAAGAGTATGGTTTTCACCAACAAGATAAAGTGGAGACTTTTGAGGATTGTATTTGCATTGTTCTTGCTGTTTTACAGGTATTTTCCTTCATGTGGACAGAGAACACACTCCCGACTGTTGTGTTCAGTAAAAATGTTCCAAATATACTTTGTGTTTGCATTGAGATGGTGATAATCTATTATCCCTGCAATCTCAAGCTCTACTGGCTAATCCCCTGCACACTAAGCAGCTCTCGCAGAGAGATCGCAATAGGTCAATCTGCCACTTTTAGCTTGCTTTACTTTTATTTGCTGTGGTAAGTTCAATAGGTCAGTATTGTCTCACTACCTGTTGAGATTATTGCTTTACTTATTATCACTATTTCATGTACTTTTTTATGAGTTAGGAACCATACATCTTGGAGTTCACTGTATTCTTCCTATCATAACTTTGACAATTTTGTTTGTGTGGCTGGAGATTTTAGTTGTATTTGACCTATTGACTCATTGCTTTATATCTGTGTGAATGCAGGTGTCTCCTCTGCTACCTTGTTGCACTCAAAGTCCCTGCGTGGCCACAGAGACTGCTTTGAGAAATGCCACCTAATTGCCAACCAGAAGCTGTCACGTTCCAAGGCCTCCCGAAGTGCCTATGAGGGCATGAAGCTGGCCCTCAGCCAGAAACTCAACCGCATCATCCAGTATGCCCAGAACAAAGACTCTGTCTCCTCCAACGGCCCCAGCAGACGGGGGGCCAAGCTCCTTTGTTACAGCCAGCAGAACGACTGCAAGCTGCTTCCCCAGTCGGATAGCCAGGTGCCCCGGTACACGCCCTGCTGGGACAAAGCAACAGGCCGTGCCGTAATGCCTGATTACGCCATGGGTATGTTGGAGTGCCACACAGCGGAGGAGCTGGGGCTGCTGCAGGAGTCACAATCTGACGTTTGGTCCAGTGATGGCAGGAAAGGCCTACACAGCCGGAAGCAGTCATCAGGAGGAGGACAGAAGCAGCACAGACACCAGGGCCACAGCAGAGATGAATGTGAGCACATTTAAGTTGGTTTTTTTTTTTTTTTACGTGCAACTTGTCAGTTTGTGATTGAAGCAGTGGTTGGAGGTTGATTTTTTTTCTTCTTTTGATGGAAGAATAGTGTTTCAACAGAAATGGATTGCTGCACTCCACTCTTCTCTCCTCTGTCTGGACTTGTTCAGTGTGATCTCTCTGCGGTCTCAAAATCCTCCAAACATGTGTTCATTAAAAGGCAGCAGACAAAATCAGTAACACAGGAAAGGAATATACATTCTTGCTTGGTCTGTCCTTCATCCTCCTCTGTGCTATGGTCCCTCCAGAGGAAAGTTAATTTTCTCATAACCTCGAGATACAGTGCGTCCTTGCCTGTCTCATGTCTCTTCAGTACTAAAGCTGCTTATGACTACAAATTCTTTGCTTTTAAATGAAAGCTGACAGGCATTTGACAGGCCCACGGTTTGTACTTACTTGTGTGCGTTTATCTACATCAGCTTATCATCGGCCTACCAGCGCTCACTGCTCTGAATATCTGCAGATGGACAGGAAACTGATAAAAGTTTGCGTGTGCAGCATGTGAATGAAATAACCTTTTCCTTTTGATATAGAGTATCCCTGTATACAGTTATAAACTGTTAAAAACATATTAAATAATCTTTAATAGGACCTAATTAGTTTGTTACTGATATACTAACGGCCATTGTACACAGGATCCTTAGTGGCTGCTGGAGACGATCCACTGCCATTCTAGCCGATGTGTCTGTGTCCACCAGCTCCGTGTCCAGAGCGTCTCACATCTAGATCTTTTCCGTGTTATCTTAACGCTGCGGGTCTGTTTTTGTCAAAGCTGCTTGTGTCTTTGAAGTGTGAAATTCACTCCAAATGTATATAAATGCCTGTATTTACTGGCTATTCATTTTTAATGATGCATTTTATTTTTTCTGAATTCTGTCTACACACAAACACAAGTAGTTGAAGGGGAGCAGCAAGAGTGGGATGGATGGAGACGATCCATTAATCCTCTGTTGCTCTTCCTCTCTGAGATCATCAGCAGCCAAATTCACAATATCGTTGTTCTCATAAACATAGCTTTCTGATTCTGTTGTCAGACAACAACAACAACAGAACAAGCATAACATTTGATCCGGCTCACAAATACTATGTTGAGTAGCAGTCATTATGAAGTTGCTGAGCTGAAGATAAAATCATTATTTTACAATCATGGCATTGTCTGACAAAATGAACCAGAACACAGGTTAATGACGGCAGCTGTACTGTGAGATTGGCTCTATTGACATTTAAAATGATCAATGACAAACATGGTTAGAAGCAACAAAAGGTTATCATCTTTGAGTACAGCCACAAAGCGTCCGTTACCACCTCTAAATGAGCTGCTGTATTTTTGTTTGCAAAACAACAAAAACAACTCTGAACTATTATAAATATGTCTGCTGAAGATGCTGCACTTGGAAACCTCTCTAGTGGACTGCAGCTGAGCCAGAACGCAGCTGGATGCTGTGTACATTCAATGTGACTAATGAAATATGTTGTTTTTTTCTTTCAGTGTCTAAAATGAGTTTGGATGAGCTCCACCAGATAAATACCCAACTACTGATGCAGATTCAAAGTAAGTGGTTTTTACTGGCATTGTGCACTTGCACAATACAGCAGGTTGAACACAGCCTTTAAAGGTCCACTGCGTAACATTTAGGATCCATTTGCAGAAATGGAATATAATATTCATAGGTGTGTTTTCATGAGTGTATAATTGTTAGTAGTATAGTAGTTTTGCTAGTTGTATAAGTGTATTATTGTTAGGGAGAAGGTTCTCTTCTACAGAGTCTGCCATGTTGAGCTGCCATGTTTCTACAGTAGCCCAGAATGAGTTTTAGGCCCACTCTGGTTTTTCAGACATGCTTTTAATCTGCAACCTCACCACTAGATGCCAATAAATTCCTTTTAATATAAAGTTTAACTGTTTCAATCATCACTATTTTAAACTGAACACATCATCTTCAATCTATAATGCTCTTCTCTATTAAATGCCCATTTTAGACTTTAGTATTTTAATCTACAGCATACCCAGTCTGAGTTTCAGCACATGAGACTCAATAAAGCACAACTTCTCTCGTCAACACATCCTCTCCTTCCATGTGACCAGTTGAGTTGAATTGGGCACTGTGTAGTGCTCGCTCATGCGTACCCTGCCTGTCTGTTCACTCCATTCTTCATCATGTGGACCTATTGTTTGCTACACACAGTAACAGCTAAGCAACACGCTTCTCATCTCAAGCATGTTTCATATTTACCTCAGTAAGTTCAAGTACCCACTAGAGCATGTGACGGCTGCTGCAGCAGGGTCATTACAGCACAGCGTAGTGAGAGTTTTGACACACTCCTCTTTAATTGACAGCCCAATCATCGTTAAACATTCTTGATATTTTAATCTTCATTGAGTGATCAAATGAGCCAAATTCTCACTTTGGCCAGTGTCAAGATGGAAATTACACAAACTAATGTGAGATGTCCTCTGATGAAGTGAAGTCTAGTGGGCGCGTGGAGTCACACATTCCTATTCACCCTTCAGGGGCAGTCGGTTGCACATATTTTCATTATTTTACTCAGAACAGATGGGGAGGTTATTGCTCATCCTAAATTATTTAGCAGGACCACACAGGCCCAAAACTGGTTTGATCTCCAGTACTTTATATTGGATATATTGTTTGAATGAGTGTTCCTCAGCTGCATAACTTTGCTGTGGGAGTATCTTAAGCAGATGCATTTTCTGTCGTGTTGTCTTTGCTCTCTGCTCCTTCAGTAATGGGCCTTATTGATTTTCTTTATCTCATTTGTTTGTCTGTGTATAAGTTGACCTTGTGAGTGATTCTAACCACTGATTTCCCTTTTCTGCCTGTTTCTCCCTCCACAGAGGTCTTCGAGGAGCTGACGGTGGCCGTGCAGGAAAAAGACTCGTTGGCGTCTGAGCTGCACGTGCGTCACATCGCCATCGAGCAGCTCTTTAAGAACTGTGCCAAGCTGCCCTGGCTGCACATTAGCAGGGCCGGGGTCAAGGCCAGCAGCAGCAGCAGCAGCCCTGTGGAGTGAGGTGAAAAGTGCTGAGAGGACGCAGACAGACACTTCAACATGCCGGCTGCAGCAAGCCTGAAAAAGCCTTTATGTATACTGAGTGACTTTTACAACACTATGGTGGCGTTGAGTTGTTAGATCTGCTTTAGAGCCGCATTAAGGGCTGGGTTGATGTGGCTTCCGTTCTTGCGGTTGAGGTGTTGATGCAAGGATTAATGGTTTGCAGTTTAAAACAAATTGTTGGCCTGGCATGTGACCTGAATTCCACCCTACTCGTGTACCCAGGATGCATGGTAATTCCCGGTGAAATGGAGCTCAGAGTTTCCTGGCCCCGGTAGACGATGAGGACATGTTCTCATTGGGCATGATCCTTAAAGAATATCTCTTAAGATTTACCTAAATACAGACTGAAAAAACAGTGTGTCTGCATAATTTTACATAAATGGTTGCTGTTGGTTTTATTTACTTTTGTTTAGATTTCTATCACACATTTCAGTTTTCATTGTTTCCATTTTCTGTAGATACATTTTCACATTTTTATTTTTACCCTTCTCATTATGTCAGATGGCTTTTCAAATATGGGTTATAACACTGCTTAATACTCCTCCATATGGACTGGTGAGTTACAGTATTTTATAACATGGATTGGGTAAATACTTGATGCAGATTAGTTGGATGATGTCTATCATATTCATCATGATTGGCACTGCAAGCAGTAGTGTTTGATTACTGTTGTAATGTAAAGCATTAGCAAGCTTTAAGCTTCTTCCTGCAGCTGCACACTGGCAATATAATGACTTGAAACGTGAGTTTTGGACTTGGCTTCAAACTGCTCTAATTAGACACGATTGTTTGTGAAAACTGTGGTCCTCTGAGATATTTGCCATTTTGTAAATCAGATAGATAGAACAGTAGTGGGCTTCATGGGGAAATTACAGATAATTAAAATTAACAAAGCTTTGCTAAATTATCACACAGGGTTGAAAAACTTTGACTCAAATAAGTAACATATTGAAATAAGATCAAGTCTAATATAGAAAAGGGAAAGTGCAAGACAACACCCAAACTACCCTAAAGCATTATTGCAACAAAGACAAATCAGAGTGTGAAGGTTAACACGACTATACTAGCTGTGCAGGTTTTAGTTTGTGATGACTTTTTTGAGAGTGTCAATGAACTAATACTTTGTAACAGCTGGTTGGCAGGCAGCAAGTCAATAAATATCGTTAATATGCCCTCTTAAAGTTAAAATGCTAGGTATTTAGTTTTGAATTCTTTTGGGTTTATAGTAACTATTAATGCTGATGAGATTGACTTGATATTTAGCACAGAGCTGTTTGTTGCCTGTTGTATAGCTGTCAAGCACAAGTCCTACGTATGGCTATACACTGAGTGAATATTGGAAAAGGAAAGGTGACAGTATTGCAAAAGACATCCAGCTGCCAAACCAAAGTCTGTACTCGTTCTGTTTTACATGTCAACTGCGAGCATTTGACTTAGAATCCCCTAACAGAGGACGATGCAATATCAAACGTATGTGGCTTAGTGATTTCCGTCTATGTTTGGTTAAGTGTGTGTAATGATGAAACATAGATTTTTACTCCCAAAGTGTTGACGTGGAAACAATTAGTTCTCAAGTACACACGGTGTGTATTTTATTGTTTTATTTATCTTTTTCATTTTTGTTTGATGTGCAGTGTTAACTGTCACCGCCCTCTCTCCTGCATTGATGTGTGGGAGCTAAGTTGATGTCACAGCAATAAAACAAACAGGATAGTTTAGTCTACTGTGCCTCTGGAGGTCCCTGATTTTTGAACAAAAGTAGAGAAGCACATAGGGGATGGTATTAACAAACAGTCAGTGTTTTAAGCCTGTAGTTTTGCTTAGTTTATTATTCAGGAACCCTATGCAAGAAAGAGACATATAAATCAGAAGCCTTATAAAGTAGAAAATATCTTAAAGAATATTTGTTTATGTGAGTTTTTCTCAGAGGAGGTCACAGATATAATAAGCTGGGAAAGACGAGGTTCTAATCAGACTGATGCTTAGAAAAACTCAGCATTGTCAGTGTATCTCTTTTGCTCTCTCTTTGTAAGAGATTAAATGTATTGACCCCTTTTTAGGGTTTAAAGTTAAAGGTTTGAGCTCCATTTTAAACTTGTATCTTGCTTTTATTTGGATAGCTGTGTTCTGTGTGCTTGAGTGTGTACGAGTATTCAGATTACTGGTCCTTAATGCAACTTTTAAGTCATTCAGTCTTCAGTTGTATGTTTTTTAATGTGCGTTTTAATTCTGAATGCTGTGTGTTTTGGTATACTGTGGAAACATGCCTGGGCCTGTGCCTCTGCTCAGCAGAGCAGTCAGGCGGCCTGGGTTTGGTTATCTCATTATCATTTACTGGAGATGATAGCATACCTGTGTTACACTTCACCTCCGCTCTTTAGACTTGACTCTTTGTACATTTGTTTTCTAATGTCGAACAAGGCTGCATTTGTGTTGTGTGATGATTTACATTCTATTTATTCTGTGTGTTCATGGACCTTACACAAGCTATGTGATTTGTGCTTAAGTGACAGTTTGTATTATTTTGTAAAATATTTGAATAAAATAAAATTATTTTTACTACAAAGGCTTCTTCTACACATGGGTGCTTGACAAAAGATTCAAAGCAGCAGCTCCTCAGAATCAACTGCCATAACCTCTGTTCAAAGTCACCCATTCTTCACTTCATTTACAGTGAAACAGTGAAGTGCTTGCTTTTTACAGAGCACAATCATGCGTACTTAACAATCGAATTGATACCACTGGCATCAGAGGCAGCACAAAAATGACTTCAGACATTGGGTAAGCCCTAAATTGAGCAACATTTCATCCAACAATTGTTAACTTCTTGGATTTCCAGATGGACTGCAGATACAGTGAGAGACAGGGACTGTTGCATTGTGTGGTAGGCGGAGGTTGGTTGCCCTCTTGTGGACAAAATGTTGAACTACAAATGATCCTGGTGGTTGTAATCATTTCCGGGAAATCTGCACACTACTGTTATGTGGTAAACATCACAAGGATCGAACAGCCCTACCGTAATATTTTGAGAACCTTCAATATTAATAAATGACTCTAAAATGGGACATTTCGTGGAATGATGTAACAGAATGAAGTTTTAATGTCCTCTGTGTTTGCTGAATCATTCTTTATAAAGCCCCCTTCTCAGCAACTTATTGGTATTCCTCTTCCACCATCATGAACTTGATCTATTTCTTGTTTTCTCCACTTTTTCCAGTAAGATTCTAGATCCAAGAGTTTTATTGTCACATGCACAGTAAGACAGTCAAACTTAACACCATAAATAATTCACTGTTACTACTTTCCCAGTGAATGTCTTGTATTACAAATTTAAAATTGTGTTTGCCATCTTAATTTTTCACGATGAAATGACATCATCACTGGACGCAACCATCGGAACAAACAAAAAACACATGCCTGACGCTATGAGTCATCACAGCAATGAGTGTGACTCACACTTCCTCTTTTACGGGGCATGTGTTTGACCAATGAATGCGCTACATTGGTCTGCTTTGAACCAATGAGAATGATGGGTGGGCGGGAACCGCGTTGTAAAGGGCGGGGTTAATAACCGACCCTCTGGGGTTCTTCTGCTGGATACCTTCACCCTATCATTCATTTTATCTGCCCACATGCTGGAAGGGACCACAAGGAAAGGTAACGCAAGCTGGTTATATCCTCGTGTCTCACTACCTTACACAAGTGTGTCGCTTAATGTGTGTGTTTGTGTGTCAATATATCACAATGTAGCTGTTAGCAGGACTATTTCTAACTTTTGCCTCCATATTTAACGGTAGGACAGTTGCTGTGTTTGTTGGCAACATGAGGCTGCTGGCGTTAACGTGAATAGCGTTAATAGCCGTAGCTTGTGTTCTCTGAAGTGAATAGTCTAATGTAGTCAACATGAGGTCGGAAGTAAGTTTGAAATCCACTTGGGCGCGAATGAAGGTAGCTCTGTTGGCAGCGTTAGCCTGTTAGCTCCCTGAGAGCTGTAGCTTGTGTTGTGGAGTATGGTGATGACCGGAACCTGTACGTCACAGCCCGCCAGACTGGGTCATTTGTAATCGCCTGGCCGTTAACTGAAGCCAGCACACCAGATCAAGGACAAATTGTCCTTAAATGTTTTAATGTCAGTGTTATCCGTTCATTTAAACCAAAATAATCTCTAACACAGCAGCTTGTTGCCACGCGCACATGGACACTTGTCTAGCGTTAATGAAAGAGACTTACACATGATCAACTAAACTTAAACATTCAATCATTTTTTTCTCCTAAAGAGGTTTATTCCAAAATGTCTAGGGCCGCACGATATGTTTAAAAAAATAAAAACTAAAGTCGTATTGTGATTATTTTGACAGATGTTCCGATATGACAATTACAATTTCCACTGAAGAAAATACTACAATCATGATGATGTGATGTCTGTTGGTGTTTTCTTACATCTGTAGAACAAGATTTGCTTTACATCTTTACAGAGCTACAGTGCTTAATTGTAATGCTGCTGTCACAAATTGTACTTTTTATCAAACAAGTGCAGCTTCTTGAGATTTGAATATTGCACCTGGCCACATTGAAATTTTGATAATATTTAGGATATTCCCAATTCTGGCCCCTCAAAGCAATTTGACACTTTCCTCAACTAACACCTTTCCATAGGAATACTTGTGACATTTGATTTGAACTGCTGCTCATCTGACCAAAGTTCCTTTGCTCACAGAGTCCGTCTGAACGTAATGAAACGTGTGTGAAATATGAGGAGAGAAATCGCAGCTGTGGTATTCTTCCTGAAGAGGCTTGTGAAAAAAGGGGAGAAGTTGGAGTCGCACAAGATCGAGCTGTTTGTTGAGAGGCTGGCTGTTGCACTGCAGGAGAAGTTCAAGGGGCACTGGTACCCTGAAAACCCCAGCAAAGGACAGGCATACAGGTGCTGCTCTCTGATATTTTGCTGTTCGTAAGGATGTTCTAAGAAGCAAATCCATAACATTATATCCAACACAAGAAGATCTTTCCACTGAATGGTAAAGACAGCGTTAGGATGGTTTTTTAAACTGAAATCTGTTTTGTGCTCTGCAGGTGTATTAGAGTGAACAGGTTTCACAGGCAGGATCCAGAGCTCCTTCGGGCCTGCCGGGAGAGCGGGGTTCGGTACGGTGACCTGGGACTGCCTCGTGAACTCACACTGTGGGTGGACCCTGGGGAGGTCTGTTGCAGGTGAGATTTTGAGTGAATTTGCCATAAATAGTTGAAACAAAGTTTGAAGACACAAATGGTTTTGGCATTAAAAACTGGAAGACTAATGGTGTAACTAGGGCTCGAGGGTAGTACTATTTACCAGCCAAATGAATGGTATTTGCTTCCCTCACCAGCCAAAAAACGCTGTTAATCTATTGAAGTGACTGGTAAAATGTGACCAGTTGGCTGTAACTATTTCAGACTCATTGAAAGTGTGTTTTGCTAGAGGTTTATAAAAGTAACCAGTACATAGAACTAATTGATCAAACTTCAATGCAGCCACTGATACCCACTTGGCTTTGAATATCAACAGATTAATGCCACCCTGCAGCTTTATTTTTTTGGGGGGGGTTCTGGATTTTTTTTAGATGTGTTCCAGCCTATAATTTTCAGGATCAATTTTCCTGGAGTCATATTGGTGAAGAAAGATCAAATATAATGAAAACTCTTTGTCTTCAAGCATATGTATTAAGGAATTGTTCTGTTTCAAACAGATTTCCAGCCAAGTATGTTAATTGTTGATTTTTCCCTCTGTTCCCATTGCTAGATATGGAGAGCAAAATCCTTATTTCTCAGTGGCCAGTTTCTCTAACGATGATGAGGAGGACAAAGATGTTGCAAAGAAGGTGACCAGTGCTTTGGAGAGGGTGACGTCAGACTACCACTCAGGTTCTTCTTCTGATGAGGAGAGCATGCGCACTTCCCCTCTCACTGTTCCCAACAGCCGCTGTGCTAAGCAGGTATTGCATAATACATTTTGATAAGTCCTATGACTAAATATTGCATGCAGGTCTGAAAAAGAATAGAAAATGACTCTATGATAACCTGGTTTTGGTGAACAATATAGTATTGTGTTTGGATGGAATTCTGTAATCTTTAAAGTTTGGTGGGGGGGAGTTTAACATTAATTTGTAATGAAATGCATCATGGGGTTCAAGGGCTTGGGTTGTTTGTATTGCAGTTGATATTTTATATTTTCTTTTTTAAGGCGATGAATCCAGCTGCTCCTACGTGGCATCCTAAGAGGATGGTACCAGGGAAAGGTCATATCATTCCACAGCCTCAGTACGGCTTCAGGCCTCACAGCAGAGCCCCCCACCCTTTAAGGCATAATCTGTGGGTCCCTCCTAGCTACAGAGGAGGGCCTGGATACTGGGACACAAACCAAAATCTGGCATATTGTTACAGTTAGGAATCATGGTGCATATTGTTCACACTGGACATTAAAGCTGAAGACAGGTTTAAGGTGACTGACCAATGTTTTTTTAAACATGAATTTTTATAGCTTACATATTGTTTTTTTGACAAAGTTTTTTGCACTTTAGACCATTTGTTATAGTTTAAATAAATCACTTGTATTAAATTAGATATTTAAATTGGAATACTACACATGTAGTCTTGAAGTACTGTATTTTTACAATGGGAAATGTTCATGTATGCCACCTACTGTCCTCTGTGAGAAAATGTTTTATTTATTCATAGTGTAGAGTTGTCAGATGTATAGGCTTAAATGTATGGAGTTTTATTAAACAGTTTCCAAGCATCATGGTGCTTTGTTTATTATATTGCTGTTTACTGAAGGATCGTCCAAGTGTTGTTGTTAAAGTGGTTTTGAATTTTTTTTTGTTTGCTTGAAAGTGTAGAGAAGACGAGTAAAACATCACACTGGGCAGTTACGTGGTGTCTCACCTTCTGACCTTACTGATCCGAAGGACACTTAAAAATAGATATATATTTTTTGTATCATTATTTAGATGGTGTAACATGCATTTTGCATTATGTTTAGTTTAAAGGGTCAATTCCTCCAAATAAATTCTCAAGTAAAATCTTAAAATAATGTGAGCAACCTGGAATTAGGTTAGATACAACCAGTGAATACTTAAGTAAACTGGAACACACACTAGGATACTTGCTGTCTGTGGCTGACAACGCAGAGTCAGGTTTCATCTATAGAAAGAACCCATCAGCACAATGGATTCCTAATGGTTAAGAACGCTCCTTAAAACTGGTTCCCAACCTTTTCCTCCCTTTTCTGTTATTCAGTAAACTGATGACCCCTGACTAACGGACACATTTTATGGATATTTCATAATATATTCAATGCATAACAGTTAAACTGTACAGTTAACCCAAACTGAATGCTATAACTGAAGGGAGTTTGTGCAAAAACAAGCAATTTGGATGAATTTTGAGTGTTTCCTGTGAATAATACATCAGATTATATTTTTCGGAACCTTTTATACAATCCTCAGTCTATTATGTAGGGTTTTTTATTTTCTTTTTGGATATCACATCATATTTCATCATTTTTCTTCTTTACAAATGTATTGTTTTCTCCCTGAACTCTTAAAATCAAGAAGGCATTTACCTTAAAAGATTGGTTAACTACTGATCAAGGAAGGTGCTCTATCATTCACAGTGTTGAAATATTCTTTGTTTTAAAGAGTTAAACATTTTAACCTGCCTGCATGGTCTATATATATATATATATACATATATATATATATATATATATATATATATATATTTGTATTTGACTGCTGCCAAATTACCCAGTCTGGGCCACCACCATCCAAGATGTGTTTTCACTGTTCTCTTTGCTGGGTAGCATACAATTATAAAAATATATAATGAATATATATAATATATTAAAAATATAAATATAAACTAAATCTAAAAATGAATATTTACACATGAATCATTTTGAGATATAGCACCATCACCCCCCTCATCCTCTTGTAAATAGAACAACAAATAAGGCAGGGAGATGAGGCCATTACTACTCCTCAAGGTGCTCAGGTCGTGACAATGTGGGACATAACAATGTGAAACTTACATAAGGCTGTACGGGAGCTGTTTCCCCCTGACGGTGGAAGGGAAAGCCACACACATTGTTTTCTTCCTCACTTGGGGGAGCTCCGTGTTCCCGCCGGCAGAGGGCAGTACTGGCCTCTCTTTGGCACAACCGCGTGTCACGTGACACCCTGCGGCGCGCTCCGCTGTGCACCTGCAGAGAGAGGCGGAGGAGGAGGAGGAGGAGGAGGAGGAGGAGGAGTGGAGTTTGGATGCTTCGGTCGAGCTGGGCTGCCACTACTCACTCGAATTCAGCACAAGTTCTCCGACCAAGTTTCACTGAAGAAGTGGTGGAATAGCTGGAAGAGGAATGGAGCTGTCGGGAGCCCGGTTCTGCTGTGTACTGTTGAGCCTGTTCGCAGGTAAGTTTTCTGACTCCAACCGCGGAGCTAACGTTACTTCGAGTCTCATGAATTTCTCACTAAAACGGCAGCGAGCACCGCCGCTGGTCAGCCGCGGACAATAACGTTAGCCGCTGGCGTTAACATAGAAACTTGCCTTTTTCGCTAAGTTAAAAATGCTGGTAACTTTATTAAACGTTTTCATCACCTCAAGTTAGTACGGTTAACAGTTAATTTGCTCAGTGGATAACCAAACCACATCTGAAAACACTTAACGTTTGATTCAAAGAAATTGCCCAACAGGGAGTAACTCCGACCCAAGGTCGGTTTAGTGAACGTTAGTGAACGTTAACTAACGTTAACTGTTACACAGCAGAGCAAGCGTCCGACTCAACACAGTTCACATTTTACACAGTTAACACTACAACTAGCTTCATTTGTAAAAAATAAATACATAAAAACAGACTGTTGACTTTGTGTTTTTACACGGAAAGAGAAATATAAACGCGAAAAAGAAAATCAAACTTTTCTAACGTTATTTCATGCATTTTATACACATTGTAACTCAATAACGCAATAAAGTGACTGGTTTGTATTAATTCATCTCGCCCCAGGTCGACCAGGCTAAGTTTGCTGTCCTGAGGGGAATGAATGGTTATTGAAATGTATAGCATTGTGTGTGTGTGTGTGTGTGTTTTAGGTTCCCACAGTAATTAGATGGTAGATGATTTTTAGAGCCGTTTCCTGATGTCCTATTTCCGTGTGATGTGATTTGGAGTATCGACTGGTGCTGGACACAATAGTTTGATCCGCTTTTAAACCTGTGGCTTCAGGACTTAAAAGTGTTGCCCTTTTTTTTGTCTGCCATCTGCCAGCAGTGCTGACAACCCCCCCCAAAAAAATCTCAGGTTATCACATTTAACTTAACCACATGTTTGCTCCTGTTGACAGCTTTGTTTATAGTTGTGTTTTACGTATTTATGTCATGTCAAGACCCTTATTTAATAAAAGTTCAGTCCCTGAGCTGAGAGGGCTTTTGTTGTGTGTTGATACTGTAGCTGGGTAGATAACAGTGTGTGCTGTGAAACCTTTGATCACAACAGTTTTTAAACCTCCCTTGCTTGTGCTAACTTATAGTCAATGATTTAAAGGTGAAATTGAGATATTCTGCATTTTACTTGGGCCTTCATAAAGGACAAAGAGCACCACTCATTTACTTTTTTGTCACTTTTTCATTCAAAGCATCAGTCAGTAAAAATGCAGTTGGTTGGTTGTAGTTTATAAGTAGGACGGGGCAGGTCCAAAATTGAAGTTTTTATTTTGATACTCTTGTTGTGGGCTTTACTGTTAGTGTGCCATGGGGACAATACATTTAGAAACATTACTGACATGAGTTATTCATTCATCAAAACTATTTGATAATAATGCAACTCTCTTAATTGTCGCAATTGTGTGATTCAATTGTGTGCGTATGGGTGTGGCTGCTGAGTGCCCTGGAATTTACACTGAAACCAAGAGATCACTCCTCCCTCTACAGACAATAATGTGAAACTTTTTCTATGGCATCCTCTTTTGACCTCAGTCACTGACGTGCCGTGGTAGTTATTGAAATATTTGGATGGGAAGCCACAGAGCCATGGTCAGGGCAGTGACATTCCTGGATGCTGATTAGTAAGAAACTGCATGTATTAAAGGAGTGCTTTGTTTAGGATCATCCAGCACATCTCTCCATGTAAAAGCTGGGGCACTGTGTGTAATATAAGGTTTACATAGTGTGTTTTTTAGAGTCCTTTAGACTTCTTTTGTTTCCTGATTCATTCACATTGTTGTGCCCACTCTGTTTGGGCTCATTACCATCTTAATGGCATCATGGCCTCGTCATTTGGGCGCTGTTCCACTTCAGCAGACAACAACAGACTCGTAGCATTCTTTTAACATGGCTTAGAAATACACAATAATGTGTTAACCTCTCTTAAATGGCCAAATAACAAGTGAGGTCTTTCTGCCCCATTTTGTTTGCTCTATTTGTCCACGGTGCACCATATGCAATATAAAATGAGACAAAATAAATATGCTTATAATAGGGACATCTGGAATCCTGGAAATGATGGTCAATGTTGAGGATTTAGAATACATACATATGAAAAGTACAGGCAGTATTCACCCAGCCTCCACATTATAAAAGGGAATTCAGTTTGGTCATCTTTTTGTCTGTGTCAAGCTGTCGTTATTGGATAGATAGGAGATTGTTTTTCCATGTGAAATGATGTGACATGTCATCATTAGATCAATAATAGACTATTTGGTTTGTGGCAATGTTCCTGAAGCCTGTAGGTTAACTGGTTGAGGTCCTCCCAGTATACACACTATTTAATGCAAATTAAACGATTTGATACAGGAAGGGGAAGAAGAGAGAAAGTTTGTACACAGTTGTAGTTGTAAAATGCTTGTTTGACAGGGCTCCCTTTTTTTTTTTTTTTTTTATTTTTTTTTTTTTTTGATATGCCAGTGTTATCAGAGACCAGCTGCTGTTGGGCTGGCTGTTACTCTTAGCAGTGATTTCAGATGCTGTAACACACACTCAAGAGACTGCTCCAAGCAAAGGCAGTAGTAGACAGTCGTTGTGCTTACAATATTTCCAACAAGTTTATTTGAATGAAAAACTGCCACAGCTGTAAAAACAAGGCAACTCACCTGTTTCTTCTATCTATCATCAAAGAGTTTTTGTCAGTCATAAGACTCTGTGGTGAGCCCTCCCTAGCACCACTTCTTCTCTTTATTAACAGACACCGCTTTATTTTCTTTGGGCAGTCTGTATTCAATGTCTGTTTGACCTGAGAGGTCTTTTTTCCCCCCCCACTCTCTCTCTACCCCCTCCACTCCTGGTTGTTTGGGTCAAGAGTGAAGCCGCTGACCTAGGATAAACAGAAACCTGGTGAACCTGTGAGCAGGCGCAGAACGCGGTTACCTGATAAGCCTACAACCACAGGCCCTGGCCAGGAACTGGTTGCTTGGTTACCTTTTGAAAACAGACACGCAGATCCAGGGAGTGTACGTGTGTGTGTGTGTGTACGTGTGTGCTCTGGTTTCTCTAGAAAGCTACCCTCCCCCTTGCTTGCATGTTGTATGTATTAGGTCCTCTTTTATAGCAGGAGAAAAACCTAGTGTTTTACACTAAAGCTGCTGCAGATGTTTTGATTATCTTGATAAAATAGTGGTTTGGTTAGTAACTCTTCTTGAAGGAGCAATTATTGTCAATGTCACGCTTCCAGCTGTGTGTGTATTGATAAGGCGTTGGGGTGAAGCAATAGTTACAACCAGAGAGATGGGTGGAGGCATGTAGAGCACAGCCTGAGCCGCTGTCATTGGCCCCATGCAGACAGTAATGACTTTAGGTCACATTCACTTGTCATGACCGAGCAGTCCAACGCCACTGTTTGCCTCCTGTCGGCTGAAACATGTTGCAGCCACAGCTTCACCTCCAGACAAGCAGCCACCCACTCTGCCCCGAGCCCCCTGTCCTTGGAAATGAAGCAGGAACATGCAGAATCGGATTACACTCCAGGGACACTGCTTTGTCCTCCACAATCTGACGATGGGGACGACCGAGCATGAATATTCACAGCCCCGGACGTTAATATTTTAGAATGCCAGTGCTGTACAAGCCCTGTGCCAACTCCTGTTCACCTATATGAGAGTGTGAAACGCTGATCCCGCCTTTACCTCGCCACATTACCCTACCCCTTTTCTCCTTTCCCCCTCTATTTCATATCTGAATTACGGAATGAACAAATTGCTGCCTGCTAGAGAATCAGTGAAAATGATTAATAGTGGTGCTTGTTTCTGAGTCCTGTTAATGGCTGTGCAGCCACTCTGTATTCAGAGCTCATTTCTTTTTCACAGGTATGGGATAAAACTGCTTTCTGGACTGCTGCCAAAGCATTCTTGTGAGAAGATATATTGGCAAAATGATGCTTGGATCCCTGGGTCATAAAGTCAATGTTACATTGACAGACATTTCAAGTTTGTATATCTTCGAACTTCTATAACACTTTGGCCACAGTATTGACCTACTGACGGCACCAGGCTCCCCAGAGCCATACAAATTGTGGGCTATATTGCTCTGGAGCAGTTTTGCCTTAACGACACAAATTAGTGGCTGATCAGTTCATAAAGGTCATGCTTTTTTTAGTGCCTATGGGACCTGGGGGACCATGATATATTGGCCAGCTTGCGTGCTCAGTCAGTTTGCTTGTTTTGTCCAATCAACCATATAAAACCCAAAGGTATTCAATTTACAGTGACGTGAAAACAGAGAAAAGCAACACATTCTCTCATTTAAGCAGATTTTTTTCTTGGTAACTAACTGAAATGATTAATAGTGATTTGATCTAATTGCAGTTTACAACATAATTATGTAAATGAGAGCATGCGATTATATTAGCTGTTCGAAGGCAAGATTGCATTGCTAACCGTAGTTGTGGCTACAGTATGTACAGGCAGAACCAATATATATGTGTCATACATAGAAAAACTAGAGCCACACAAATCAACACAGAAGCACTGGCAACTGAAAATTATATGTTGACCGCACTTCAGAGAGGGTCACTGTCAGTAAATAGCCTAGTTTTGTTATGTCTCTGTGTCTATGTATTGGTTCATAGACATGATGTGCAAAACATCAGAGTTTGAACTTGTACTTATACTAATCAAATGTAATTGTTTTGCCAGTTTTGACAGCACTAGTGAGAGAGCAATGTGCCACTGATCAATTGACCATCCTCAAACTGGGCTTTCCATCAAATAGCTATTGTGCTATCATAAGTACAGTGTCATGTACAGTATGTAGCCACTAAGTGCAAATTTTAGACCTTTTTACAGGATTCTGGTTTCAAGATAAGCCAGCCAGAAACATTAACAAAATCATTAGTCGCTGCCGGCTAGAAATGAGAAGCCTGCTTTGTCTCGCTCAGGATAGAGAATAGGACCCACTATTTAAAATATTAAATTAATAATAATTA